ACATCAACGGTTCCTATAGATACCGTAAGGAGTGCAGTGCCTAAAATACCACGAGCATGGCTGTTTTCATTCAACAAATTAGACATAGACTTGAGATATTGTCGAGATGTTCCCAGTTCATGCTTGCATGTGCACGTACAATTGGTATATATTAGGGGCAAGCAAGAGGGCGCCATAATTGGGTTTCGCTCCATCCTAAAACTTGCCTCAGGCTGGCACTGCAGCTTCTTACCCAATTCCTGGACACAGCATGATGCTAATAGATCAAGATTCTGCGCCCATAGAGAGAAAGCGCATTAAAACGGAAAAGGTATAATATACACCTGGCTATTACATAGATATTGTAGAAAACTCACGCAACACGCGTAAATTCGAAGTTGTCTTTTTTGAAAAGAATCTTAGAGAGGAGGAAAATGCTGGAGATCGAGTATTAAGCATTAAGAATTACAAAAGCCTCTATGAAACTCATGTTAAACTATCAATCAGCGGAATATCTATATATATTTCGACACCCTGAATTTAGTACTTCCATGTCAGTTCAAAACTGTAAAAAGATGACATTACATCATGTTGGCATGGTTGGAAAGATCACGGCAGATCCCAGTAACTCTTATCAAGGGATGATACCATTAAAACTAAAAAAAATCAGGATATTAAGAAATTTCTCGAATACTTCCCTGTTGAAAAGCGTTTATTTTATGATGAGATACTTTTAGCAGCTACTTCTTCAGGAAGAGAGCAAAATAATGAAAATAACGACACAGGAAGAAATTTTCGAATAAATAGATATAGTAGTATGTAGGTATAGTAGTAGGTATTTGTGATTCTAAAATAAATATAAGTAAGATTTGGTTTTGTGTTAGATAAGTGTGAAGTTTTATTATTTTGTGATTTATATTAAGTGATTAGTTATGATAATATGTCCCTGACTCTCTAAAGAATTATGATAAAAAATCCCTAAATCCACCGTTTTTGCGATCAGTTCTAAATTTTAATTACTCATACTTGGCTTAATAATTAATATGAATATTTTTTTTAAATATTGCATTAAAGGCTACCAAATAAACAAAAAAAAACACTCACGCCTGTCACTAGAGGGACAGGCAGAGACTACGGACTTCCATTTGGCTCGATCCTGACATAGCTCTCCCGCCTACTTTACATCCATATATCTACGCATACACGCTCGTCGGTTAAGTGTACTCCTAATCTGGCCCATTTTCAATGTATCGCCGATTTGGTTGATAAACCTTCATCTAGGGTGTCCTTTCCCGACTCTGCCGTTCACTTCTGCAACATACATTTGCTTTGTCACTCTTTCCTCGTTCATTCTTTCTACATGACCAAGCCACCGAAGCATTTTTTTTTTCAAAAAACGTTACCCCCACACTAGGATTTTCTCCTGTGTCGTGGAGGCAATTTACAAACATAAATTGCACAAGGACAAACATTTAGACCCGGAACAATTATTTGTAGGCCATACAAATACTTGTTCCGTGCGGGATTCGAACCCGCGGCCCCCAGCGCAACAACTGATTGCTAATCCACTGAGCCGTCTTTTCGTCATTCCTTTCTTAATCCTGGTCACAACGTCAACTTGCAAATCACACTTTTCTCTTATCACACTATTTCCCACCCTGTCATTTAGATTCAACCCTAGCATACTCCTTAATGACCGCATTTCTACAGCATTTATTCTACTCTCATGCTTCTTCTGCCAGACAGAACTTTCCCTACTATACATTAAAGTAGGGACTAACACAGCATTATGAATTGCCATACGTGCCTTATTTGACACATTCTGACTCTTCATAATAGCCCCATTCACTCTATTTCCTGCGTTCACTCGTCGTTCTATATCCTTATCATATCTACCATCCCTGCTAAATAAACATCCCAAATATACGAACTCATCCACTTGCAATCAAATCCCTTTCTATTCTTATTTCACATAACGTTTTACTTTCTTCTCTTTCAAAAACCATCACTTTCATGCGTACAAAAGGCATTTGACGATTAATTCACCAATTCTTAACCCACATTCTTCAACTTTCAAAGTTTGCAAACAACAGTCCATAAATAGGTTAAACAGCCACGGGGAAGCTACCAAATAAACGACTTACATATTTCTATTTTTTTATACAGCCATGCCTTAAAATCCGGGTACCCACCTAGCGCACAGGCTCACGCGGCGCGAGGCAGCCTCAACAGTATTGTCCTGAACTCAGAGGCATGCCTCACGGTAGGCCGAGCCATCATATGTCCTCGAGCATCCGAAATGGACAGTTGTGTAATTGCAGCCACAGCTACTTTCCTAGTTGCTTATTGTTTAAAAAAACGAAAACAGTCTTTTGGATCCCACAGCATCTTGTACGTACCGTACAGTTGAATTAAACGAATCGACTCATCCTGATTGTTCTAGTAGATATTATATTATTAAAATGACTTTTCAGTAAAACTAAAAGAAACACTAACCTCGCGAGCCAAAATGCCATTTTACACACCAAACGAACAGCGATCATTGAGGCACATTTGAGCGCGTCAAGTTTACCGACAACGTATGGCTCGCGGTCGAGCGGCGCTCGGCCGAAGCAACATGCACCCGAGGTAACCCAATGCACGTCCATATCAGCCGAGGCATTGGCTTACTAGGCTACCGCGCGAGCCTGTGCGCTAGGTGGGTACGCCGCTAAAAACATTTTTGGCACTTCAAATGATCATAAATGTTAAAACAAGGAAAATGGATTTAGTAAATTTTAGAAGTAAGCCATCCATTTAAGGTCATTTTTTGTGACTACAAGAAATAATAAATTTAACAGTGATGCACTGCAAAATATTTTCGCGACACTTTCTATTTATAGGTGTTTTCAGTTTTCGATTGTTAAATTCAATTATGTAGTGTATTCGCATTCGGAAAAACAATTTTATAAAATAATGAGGGAAACATAAGCATGACCGTCATTTGAATTCATCTTTTCACCATTATAGATATTGTTACGAGCTTGGGGTTCGAGACAATTAAAAACTGCCAAGTGAATTACCAAAATTGACACTTTAATTACAGAACACTAATTACAATTTAAAACCACAATAATAATAAAACACCATTGTACTACTGATCACTTTAGTTCGCAGTTATTTCGCTTCGAAGTATGCTCTTGTATCGCCAATTCAATACTAACTCGGTCGTATTCTATACCGGCCTTATTTAGGGCCTCAGATAGTTTCCAGAACATTCTACTGTAGCGACAACTAGCATGTTCGAGTTCATATCGCTTCCGAAATTTCTAGAAGGATCTTGACACTCCTAGTTCTGCAACTCGATACTAAAGGGCGCTAGTGGTAACTAGTATTGCCATGTACAAGACATTAATAGTGGCGCGCAACACTGCCGCTTCCTAAGACATGCTCGTCCCGAGTATTATTGGCCCCATAGTAACGCACCAGTCGATCCACATGGACGATTTTTTTTTAATATAGGAATAGGGTGACAAACGAGCACACAGTCCACCTGATGGTAAGTGGTTGCTGTGACCCATAGACATCTACATTTGTCCTCGTTTGCGAATCAAAATGCAGATGCGTTGTCACCCGTGAGGACTAAGTTGAAATGCCTCTTTTCCAGTAAAAAGGGTCTCCGGTTCTCTACACTCACCATACGAAACACAGCAGTGTTAAACTGCTATTTTACGCTGGTATTCTGTGAGAGCGTGGTCCTTCCCCGGTCGAGCCGACCCATTCGTGCTACAACTATACTATTAATATAGCTGCAGTATGGCTCTACCACATTAAAATCTTAGGAGTACCTTTGGCGCATTTCTCTATCCAGTAGGTACGTCATTGATCCTTGTCACACGTCCGTACGGTCCGGTCCGGCCCATTAATCTTGAAGCTTAGGAGATTTCTCTTTGCTGCGAACTGGATTGTGTAACCACACCAGTGAACCTTCGTCAAACCCTCTTGTTCAGGCCTAATCTAAAACATTTTAAACTCGCTTTCAAGACGCGCGCTCGGCGCGTTCATGCGATGGTATCAGTCACCGTCTAGAAACCCCGCTTCCGCGCGCGTCTCCCCGCGGACGCTCAGTCGCTCGACGCGTGGGCGAAGTAGTATTGTCTGCGACCGCTGAGTTGGTTGCGCGCGGCCGGTGTTGATTTAGACGGTCTAAATTTTGAGTTATTTGGGCGCGGCTGGTGTCAAGAATTGTGCGCGTCCGCCTCAGTGTCGATAAGACAGAATTTATAATCGAATATTTGGGTCTCGTTAAGACTGCCTCGAATTGAGTTGTCTGTTTTGAGCGTTACGTGACAATGAGGCCTATCTTGAGTTTTGAGTTGCCATTAATTTGCATCGACGAGTTGTTTGTGTGTCATTTTGAGATCGTAATAAAACATTGCCCTTGTCGGTTGGAACGCTAAAATTTGTGACCCGAGAGAAGGTCGCGTTCGTATACTATTGTAATTTTGTGCTAAGTGAACATGGAACATTGAACTTTGACCGACCGTTCTTAAGTTGTGCCTTAAATTTGAAGTTAATTAAATGTACAATAAAGTTGATAAACTAATATAGTGAAATAATAGCAGAAGGTTTCAATTGGTGAACGCTCACTGGAGGGATCGCATATTTTGGAGAAAAGCAGCGCCTGTGGGTCTGCTCTCGGATCATATCGGGGATGTCTCACTTACCACCTGACTGGTAACTATTGGTCAACCCTACCTCCGGAACTCGGTAAGTTTTGTTTGCTTGTCAGCCGTTTTAGAATAATTATCCATAGGCCATTGGACCCGAACCCTCTGGTTGCTCGTCGAGGAGGCTACTATGGGCCCTAGCCCAGTCAAAATTTGTCGGGGCAGCTGAGGGCCGTAACACCTCTGTTGTTAATTTTGCGGTCATACCGTGTTTTTCATCTTCTCAGACGTTTGCTGGCCCGACTGTCTGACGTGCTCATAAATGTCATTCATTTTGTTCCGCAAGTCATTTGCATAATCGGTTATACTGCGTCAGGTCGGGGCATCAGGTGGTATTCCGGTGATCAGGTCTGTAGGCAGCCGTAATTCTGTCCCAAAGTTTGCGAAAGCTGGTGTCACTGATGTACTTTCGTGAACAGCGCTTCGATATGACAACAAAAACGGTTGTATGTGCCTGTCCCAGTCTCGTTGCCGTTTTTCCACAACTTTTGCTAGGTACCTCTCCATTGTCTGATTAAATCGTTCTACCATTCCATCAGATTGTGGGTAGTAAGAAGTTGTTCTTGTTTTATGAGTACCCATAACCCGGCAAGTTTCCTGGAATATTTGAGACTCAAAATTCCTTCCTTGACCTCTGTGAATCTCTAAGGGTACTCCAAAACGATAGAAGACTTCATGAACTAGTTTACCTGCAACTGTTGAAGCTTCTAATTTGGAACGGCGAAAACTTCTGGCCATCCGTGAAGTAATCCATCACAATTATGAAATACTTGTTACTCCCATGGTGCACCAACACTGTACAATTCCAATGGCCCTCTACTACGAGGCTAAGGTCCCTTTACAGCCGCACAACTTGTACATCTGGGACACCAGTTCTCGACATCGTCACGACAGTGGACCCAGTAAAACCGTTGTCGGATCTTCAATAGAGTTCGTTTAACTCCCAGATGGCCTCCTGAATAACCATTATGGTACAGCTGTAGAACATCCGGTACTTTAGCTTTAGGGACAATCATTTGCAAATGACAACTGTCTCCCCGACCATTTTTCCATTTACGGCACAGGACTCCATCCTGAATCAGCAAGCTGTCTCATTGGGCCCAATAGCTTTTCGTGGTCGAACTCATCGCTGAAACATCGCTCCACTTGGGCTTAGGAGCACTGGCCTTCATCCATTCTAGAATCGGTTTGATGTCCGAATCTTCCTGCTGTGCATATCGTAGGCTATCCTTCCACTCATTGTTGAGCTGGTCTGTCCTGAGCATCCTCACAGATACGACTTCCTTACCCTCTTGCCTAGTACAATGCTTCCAATCTTCAGGACAAGGTCTTCTTGAGAATGCTACTGCGTTGCCATGAGATTTCTCGCTGCGATGTTCGATCACAAAGTCGTATTCCTGCAGTAGTTCTATCCATCTCGCAACTTGTCCTTTTGGATTTTTGAACTGCAATAGCTATTTTAGTGCAGCATGGTCAGTTCGTAAGTGAAATTTCTGCCCTAGAAGATAATTGCTAAAATGCTGCAACGACTTTACCACAGCAAGCAATTCTCGTCTTGTAACACAATAGTTCCTTTCCGGCTTTGACAACAACTTGCTGAAGTACGCTATCACAACCTCTTGATCACCATTCCGTTGAGACAATACACTGCCAAGTCCTATATCACTTGCGTCTGTGTCAACTTTAAATTCCTTGCCCGCATCAGGGTACGCTAAAATAGATGTTTTGCACAGACGGTTCTTGAGTTCCTGGAATGCGATATCGCAACTTTCATCCCAGCAGAAATGTCGCTTCTCCTCGGTTAACTTGTGCAGATGTTTGGCTATATCTGTAAAGTTCTTCACAAATCGCCGATAATAGGAGCGCAAACCCAAAAATGCTCTAACCTGCGTCTTGTCTTTTGGAACCGGCCAATCCTTGACAGCGGCAATTTTCTCTGGATCCGTGCGGATACCCTATTCCGACACTACATAGCCCAAAAAGCTAACTTGCCGTTTGAATAGTAAACATTGACAACAACAAAACTGCATGCTGCCGTCCTTCTTCTTTACGAGCACCACAGGTGAACACCAAGGACTAGATGAAGGTTCAATAACACCATCCTTCACCATTCCCTCAATCATGGTTTCCACTTCCTTTTCACGTGCTACCGGCAATCTTCTTGGGCGCTGACGGATAGGCAATTCTTCTCCTGTGTTTATTTTATGTTGAACTAAGCCAGTCTTTCCTATGTCAGCATCGTTTGACGAGAAAACATCGGCGTACTTGAGTAACAACTTCTTCGCCTTGACCATTTCATTCAGGGAGAGAACGCTGCGACAGTCTTCTAAAAGTGTGGTCACTCTCCTTTTTGCATCCTTGCTGGGGGTCCCAGTCGATAGATATTGGCACTTCCTCACTAGTACCAACCAGTGTGCCATTTTCTATAATCTGTTCCTGATCACAAAGGTTTAGCACATGTACTCCTGAGATGTCGGTGGTTCTGACCAAGGTTCGAGCCACTTTCTATGGAAGGTCATTGTCTGCCCTTTCCACGAGCACACAACGATAAGCTTGCCCAGGATTCCGAGGAAGACTAATCGGCACAATCGTTTCCATCTCCATCTCCTTCTCTCCACGGACGGGTATGCGCTTAACGGTGGCTGTCACCAAATTAATGCGTTCTCGGTTGTATGCGGAGTCCCCAAGAAACTGGCTTATAAATTGGGAACTGACAACCGCTCGAGAGGCTCCAGTGTCTGTGGTCAGTTTACACGGCGTTCCGTTGACCTCGCCCTTAATGATTAGGCTGTTCCCATCTTGGGTTTGTGAGATCGAAATCCTTGGGGCTCTTTTAACATCAGTCATCACCCGCCTCGCAATTCTGGCTTTTACTCGTTTCCCTGCTGCTGCTGGGCGGTGCTATTAGCCGCACTACCCTCTCGAGATCGATCACCTTCCCTTTCTACAGTTCGCTTAGGACAGCTGGATCGAAGATGGCCCCTTTCCCCACAACCGTGGCACCTAGGGCTGTAGCCTTTATTGTCGTCATCCCCTATGATGACTTAGGCCGAACAACTGTCACTGCATACAAGCTAAAGTAAACAAACAAAAGCTATCGATGGCTGCCGGACGCGGCGCTAATATGCTCACGCTTCGACACGGCCATCTTGACGTTTCACATGTCCTCCTGTGGGATAGTACTTAGTAAGAGGAAACCGATCGCCGCAGTAAAAGTGCATCAGCTCGGTCAACCTGACCGCAAATAAACGAACCGTAATTTTAAAATTTTACAAGCAGTTAAAGTTCATAACTTGTAGTAAAATAAAGATCTCCAACTACATCAAAAGAACAATGGTGTATAAAATTAAATTCACACATAGTAAATTACCCTGTCGAACAGATCTTTCGAAACAGTAAACTGCCATAAGCTCTAGCGAATCTGCATTCGGTGCCTGATACACCTCAAAACAGCTTCCATCCAGCGTCTGATAGATCTCAAAGCAACCATAGTACAGCGGTTAGATAGATCACAAGACAGTTTCCATCCAGCGTCTGATTGATCTCAAGACAACCTTAGTACGGAGTCTGATAGATAACAAGATCCCTTCCATCCAGCGTCCGATCGATCTCAAGAAAACATTCAGGCAACAACCTTCCAACCGGCGCCTGATGACTACAGACAACCTCCAACCGATGTCTGACAGCTCAAGATAACCTCCAACTGGTATTTGATAGCTCAAGATAAATTCCAACCAGTATCTGATAGCTCAAGATAACCTCCGACCGGTATCCAATAGCTACCACAGTCATGACATTGTGAGTCAAAAGCGAACAAAACAAATGGCACTACTACTGTTCGGCAGTTACTAAAACATTTTACTGGTCAGAATCATTGTCGCTGTCGTCGATGATACAAGTACCGGCAGGCATCTAGCGCAACCTATCATGTGCGTACTTGTACGTTCGGTTAGAACTTAGGGTTCTGAGGACGTAACGATCATCTTCCGAGACTTCCGCGACTTTAAATGGACCTTTGTATTTGGGTCAAGCTTAGTTTAATTACCTTCTTCGTTCTGCAAGAGACTTCAACAGAGAATGGCTTTACTTTGGCCTTGGTGCTGTTGAATCGGGCTTTGTCTTCAGCAGAGGCTCGCGTTCCATGTTTCCTACTGCTTCAGCTCTGACATTGTCGATATCGACCTCAGCCAACATTACCTCTATAGGTCTAGCAACTGTATCTATGAAACTTATGTACACTTCCCTCCGAGCCGTTTGTTGTTAACAATTCTTTACGTAATAAGGTTGACTGGAACAAACCGCATCAAAATAGTTTACAATTTTATAATAGCATACATATATTTTACCGTTAGAGATGGATTATCCCAAAAATCTTTAAATACGTATTTCTGGCTTTCTAATCGAAAGCTTAAAATAGTGTTATCAAAGATATAATTAAAATGTTGCAAAATTTCGAACAATATTTCATTTTTCATCATCTCTTATGGATAGAATTGTCAAAAATACTGAAACACGTGTTTCTTCATTTTTAATCGCCCTCGCCTGAGACCTTGCCATTTTTAAGGTGCTGGAGAGCCATTCTAATTTAGCTCAGACTGACGTCTGGAATAGTGTCGGATACGAATTACTCTTGGATCGTTACTCACACTTGCGTGTGGCTCTAACGATGATGTATCCAGCTTCCCATAGAACCTCTCAATCTCACTCAAAATCTCGGGTGTCCCGGAAACAATGCTGCCACGATCGGCCTTCAGCTTTGACAGTTGGCTCTTTCTGACAGACAGATCTCTGGCAAAGATTTTGGAGCCTTGGTTCTAGATCGCTTCTTCAATACGACATCTATACGCTAGTATATTATATCCTAAACCAATGGAATTGAGGCTAGAAATTGGTATAAATGTCTAAAGAAAATTTAATAAATTAAGAATTCTAATGACTTACTTGTGCAGGGATATCAGAGACGCTTTTGTATTATATTTTGAATTACAGCCCTTCACACAACTTAAGAATGGTTTCCTTTATCACACACAGATTCACAGTCAAGTTTACATTACTCAAAACGTTCTCAATATGGAAAAAAATCAGTCGCACGATAACGCTACATAAAACTTCTTGCACACTCTTTAGGACAGTTACTACTCTTTGACACTCTCAGAAGTACTCAGTAGGGATATTCGATATACATCGATGCATCGAATTCACTCGATGTTTACAATACGATGCATCGAATCGATCCGATGTTTTGGAAAGTTATTGATAGTATATCAATGTATTTTCATAAAACATCGAATCAATGATAACCAGTCAATTGTAAAAAGGTATACTACACACATGCTTGCCGTTCTATGTGAGAGTGTACGTCTCGCTGGACACACGCGTTGAGAATAGCGCTAGTTTTATCAAAATATAAATGAATCGGTAAATATAGCCTTGGCTCTTTTTTAATATAGAATAAGGGAATGTGCACAGTCCACCTGATGTTAAGTGGATACTGTGGCCCAAAGACACCCATATTTATTGATAAAACAACTAATTAATTAATAATTACACCCATAACACAGTCCTTAAAAGCTACAGTATGACTCTACCATGTTTAAAAACGTTACGATGTTCAAATGACGTTCTTTCTGCGGTGCTATCGCAAAGAAAAAAGACAAAAAGGAAATATTGGGTGAAGAAGCCGCTGTTTATACACTTCTATCACCAGTGTCCAAATTTCATGTTTTATTGGTATCCAT